TGGAAAATAAATGAAAAAATCATGTTTTTACACACAAATTTCTCATTGATTCACATTAGAAAAGGCCTATGTTTCTAGTAATTTAATGTGATAGGATTAGTGACCCAAGTTCCTTTTTGTTTTATCATTTATTGTTGCAATACGATTATGTCTACGTTGTTGAAGGGTAGATAAATGAAAAATACTTAGTGTTGGCATCTCCATCGTCTACCCAAGAAATTCTCGATTTTAATTTCCAAAATACCTCTTCTAATTTCAAAATGTGATTAATTGAATTCGAAAATTATCTCTTGTTCAAGATTTTGTAGAAAAGTACTACTAGTAGAGAAATGTAGTGATTTTTGTATTCCAATCAACTTTGCTAGAATATAATAGAATAGGTTTCTTGCAAACAAAAAAACTACTAAATTCATGCAAAAAAAGTCAAATATTAAATTCGAATCTAAAAATCTTATTTCGATTTAGATGAAAAGGATGTAGAGCCCGCAACATGGGATAATGATCAAAATGAATACGAAACAAATGATGAATTTGAGCTTTTGGGAATAAGGGCACCATTATTTCTCTTATTAGTTGATGTAAATTTACTACCTCCAAATCCTCAATCCACTAAATTGCAATAATCAAGACATTTTTAGAAAATTATTAATAGAAAACCCTCTTATATTTAACATGTAGTCTCATAATCGGACACTCCTACACTTGTGTTTGGGGTAGTCTCACTAGGTGAGATAATAAGATCAACAATAACAACAATTCTCTATGGATGCGTTTTTTCTCTCCCCCATCCCCCCCGCCTCTCAAAGCATACGTCCCTTTTTGGCCGTTCCCCCTTTTTATGAGTAATGGATCAGTACAAATGAATAAGAAAGGATCACGTCATCGAAGATGACGAATGACGATATCATCATCTACAGATCGAGTCATGAGATCTAAAGTGCAAATACTTAACACCGTGAGTCAAAAAATTCAGATGATATACATAAAAAAATGTTGATCCATCGATGTCGAAAAATCATCTATGTCAATATAAAAAATGAAATTCATCGTTATCTGTGATCGAAACTTCTTTCACCTTAAACAACTACGATCTTTTTCATCGCTTGCCGCGACTAGTCTCTTTGTAGTAGTAATAGCAGGAGGGGTGGGGGGAAGTGGGAACTCTTTTGAAGACGAAACAATTTGGTTGTGAAGATCTATTCAAAACAACCTCCCTATCTTCACAAAGAGAGTAATAAAAATTTGCATATATTCTATCCTCTTCAGACACTCACCGCAAAATTAGTACAAAAAACAAGAAAACATTTTCTAAGAAATTAAATAATTTCTTACTTATTTTTTTTTAGTTCAATATGGAAATAAAAAATATTACTCCCTACAAAAATTTGTATATATCCTAAAGTACATATCTAAGGGTCAAAAAAATCCACCGCCATTGCCATAAGCCATAGCCACCATGAAACTCAGAATCAGATGCATCGAAACCAAAGAAACCATAAAAATCGATGTACAATCTTCATCCTGCACTCTTCAAGAACTCAAAAATCGAATCTCTCAAGCATTACCATCATCATCAACACCAAATTCCGTTTATCTTTCTCTCAATCGAAAGGACGAACTTCAATCTTCTGAAGAAGATACGCTTCAATCGATTGGTATTACCTCAGGTGATCTCATCTTCTTCACTCAAAATCCAATTGGGTTTTCAATTTCAACTGAAACCCATATCCCCAAATTGAAAAAATCGGACACCCAAATCGTCCAAGAATCTGGAACTGTGAAAAAATTGGACACCCAAATTGTTCAAGAATCTGAAACAGTGAAAGAAATGGACACCCAAATCGACCAATCGGAACCCCACGAGACGAAAACTCAAAATTATATACCTGGGGGTGAGGAAATGGAGGAGTTTATGGAGGTAGATGATAATGGAGATTACAGTGATGTGAATTTTACGAAATCGTTTTCTGTACCTGGGTTTTTGAGGAAAGTGTTTACAGAGGAACTAAACGATGACGATGGTAGCCGTGACCATAAGCTGTTGGTGGTTGCTGTTCATGCTGTTTTTGTAGAATCTGGGTTTGTTCTTCTTGACCCTATTACGTTTACTGAAGTTAGTGTATCTCAATTTTTGAAATATTGGTCTTCTGGATCTCGAAGGACACTGTTTTACACCTTACCTGAGGTTATTGATCATGTAAAAGAAGGTAATTGTAATGTGATTCACTGTATTGAGTTAAAGTTTCAGTCTTTAGGGAAGTTCTTTATTGCTCATGGGTCATTATCCGGTGGGGGGTTGGTTTCCACGTTTAGAGTGACGTTAAACGAAGATCAATTGGTTCCGTTTTTGAATGTTGTGTGGGCTAATTGTGGATTGAATGAGGTAGTAGATGGGGATTTTGGAGAGAAGGAAGTGTTTGTGTTTTGGAGGAATGTTAAGGATGGGCTTGTATTGCCATTGTTGATTGATTTGTGTGAAAAGTCTGGTTTGGTGCTTCCACCGTGCTTTACGCGACTTCCGACTGACCTTAAGTTGAAGATTTTGGAATCCCTTCCGGGTGTTGAGATAGCGAAAGTGAGTTGTTTGAGCTCTGAATTGCGATATTTGGGTTCGAGTGATGATTTGTGGAAGAAGAAATATGTGGAGCAGTTTGGTGATGGTGAGATATCGGGAGAAGGGGGGCATTGGAAAGAGAAGTTTGTTAAGTCTTGGGAGAGTAGGAAGAGAAGGAAAGTGATTAATAGAAGAAGAGTGGTTGATGGGTTGCGAATTTTAGGGGGTCGTCATCCATTTCCGGTACCTTGGATGCCACATGTAATCGGTGGAGATTATGATCTTTTCCCTCCACAATTTGATAATACTGGAAATCCGTTAGGGCGGGCACCACCTTCTCGATTGCTCCATCCGTGGTCAAACCATGTACGCCGTTGTCATCTTGGAGGACATAGGAGCAACTTCCCTTGAAGTCTTTAGCAGTAAGCTTTGTAGTTTATGTCTATGATAAGTAGTGCAATAGGTTTCAGTTGCAAGTTTTTGTTAATATGGTACTTTTGGAAGTGATCTTTTTATGTTCCATTTGGAAATTTCAAAACTTTTATCGTATCGAAAAAGAAATGTTCCATTTAGAAATTTCTGGTTTTGGTGTTTGGATAACTCCTAGGCAGTTGTTTTTGTTCTATTTCCTTTTTCTGTTTATGCAAAAACAGTGAATGTAATCTGCTGGCTAGCTCATGTGGTTGAAATGAATCCAGCAAATTATGATTTCCTTTGATTTTTGGTTTGTGTTTTGCCCTTTGAATCTGTGTTCAGTCAGACCTCTCTATAGTAGTCCTTCTCTATAACAACATATCGCTTCCACGGCCAAGTTTTCTTTAAAACCAACTTCTATATAGAGATATTTGACTGTACAAATATTTGTGATGGTTACCGTTTCTTAGGTTGTTCTAGCTAAGAAAGAGTGGGGTTGCGGCTTGCGAGCATGAGCCAAAATTTTGTTTGCTTTGCTCAATTAAGCTATACCTGTACAGTTTATGCATGTAGCAGGTCATGTAGCAAGTTGTCCATAAGGTTTCTTGTAGCAAGTTATGTCAAGTCGGTATAGTTAGACAAGACCTCTCTATAATAGTAATCCTCTCTGTAACAATATTTTACTACAATGGCCAAGTTATACTATACGTGTGATCTAGCTGCATTTCGCTATATCATTCAAAGAATATCCGAACAAACGACTCCCGTTATAGGGAGGTTTGATGGTACTACGGGGCGTCTGACAATATTTTTGAAGAGTTTGTGCAACATAGGTTCTTGGTGGTTGGACGACTTCGTTTGGCTGGTAGATTCATTTTATGTCATGTATTTTGTTGTGTGGGAAGTGTTGAGATGAATCTGCTAGCTCATGTGTGACATGATAGTTCTGGTGTAGTGAGTTGGATTATGTTGCTGTCCTTGCTGTGCCTAAAACAGTTGCATATGATATTGACATCCATAATTTCTGATCTAAGTTAAAGCTAGAAAGAATCTTTTGAGCCGTCTAACGGAAACAGCCTCTCTACCCTTACAAAAGTAGAGATAAGATCTGTGTACATCTTACCCATTTCAGACCTCACTTGTGGGATTACGTTTGTTGTTGTAGTTAAAGCTAGAAAGAAAATGCCTATGCCCAAACAATCTGACCATCCAATCGTAACTTTCTTTAGAAATACCTGAAGTATCAATTTGTTGCGAGTTTCGTACCTAAATTATCATATGTATATTTTTCTAACCTAATCTATCATCAATTACTTATGAAAACACACCTCGAAACTGATTAGATAAATTATCATGTGTATATTTTTCTAACCTAATCTATCATCAATTACTTATGAAAACACACCTCGAAACTGATTAGATAAAGTGTTTGAATACCATCATTCAAAAAAAGGCATAACAACTAAATTTGCCCATAAAAATTTGTTCATATGACAGTTAATTCATTTATTTCAATGTGTGTTCTGACAAAAATGCGAACTTCTAATAGTTAAGGTAGAAAAGTCACAACAAAGTAATACTTCAAAGTGTAATTTTAACCATTATCTTTTAATTTTTAAAATTATTTTTTCAATGAATTCATATAATTATCAAATACGCACCATCAAATACTAGTCAATGTGCATTGAAAAACAAATAGTGATGATAGTTCAAGTAGAAAATGCAAACACCTAATTTAGGTAGACAATTCGCAAAAAAAAAAAGATACTTCATGTGTTTTAGATCATTATCACTATCCAAAAATGACCAAAGCCTAGCATGGTGGAAGGCATGTATTTTGAAATTGCAAAGCAATAGAACTTACAAAACACTCTTGATGCACTAGAATGTCTATGGTTTAACAAGCAAGCACCACGAGCAACGCTCTTCGACTAGACCAAATATTTGGTATCATTGAAGTGACAAAACAACCAAACATGATATTAGTCATCAACAAGAAAGCACAATCGCTGGAAAAGGCAACACTATCTCATGGTCTGCTGAGCTTATTTCTCTGCCCAGTTTTCACATTTAGTGAAAGTGAAACTATCAGAAACCAAACCACATAAGAACTGATAGTGTGTATGGTTTCATCACATTAATATCTACTGAGATTCAGAAAGTTATATTTTAATCCGAGTTCAGTATGCTACTTAAACAAAGATCATAATGACGTTAACATTCAAAAACTCAAGCTCAAACTCACTCAAAGAATAACCACCGATGATGTCTCTCAATACAAAGCTTAAGCGCCAATGTTCTCAATTTCGGCACCTCTGTCCATCCTCTTGACAATACCGGCAATAACCTGAAACATTGGAGTCCAAATCAAGCACTTGCTAAAGCGATAAGATCATTAGTCATAAAGTGATCGATACTGAATGATTTGTGGAGTATCAATGAGTTTTACCTTTCCAGGTCCTAATTCATAGCTTTTCTTTAGCCCTTTTGTTAGGAGAGTTTTCATTGTGGTCTCCCATTGAACTGGTGAAGTCACCTGCATACGTTCAAACATGATGAATCAACATTTCACAGAAGATTGTGTCCAACCATCTTTAATCAACTTAATCTTGTGTACTGTCAGTTTTTTACCTGGCTAGCTAATATTTTCTTAATTGTATCTGGATCTGCATGTGGTTGCGCGTCAACATTTGATATTACTGGTATTCTGGGAGTTCTGATCTCTGTTGCACCCAAAGCAGCTTCTAATCTTGAGACAGCTGGATTCATAAAACTTGTGTGAAAAGCTCCGGCAACAGCTAGACGTACCTGGAACAATTAAATCCAATGTTAAGATGCAAATTAGCAGTTGGCAACAAGACATACATTAGCATTTGGATAGAAAAAGGAAATACCGTCATTCGTGCTTTGAACGATTTTGCTTTTGCTTCTACTGCTTCAATTCCTTTAACACCTCCAGAGACTGCATAATTTCCCTATAAAAAGATAGTGCAACAACAAGACTGGAAAATGCTTAGCCACATGCAATATGTAAATATGGAGTTTATTCTGGTTACAAAGCTTTTGGAGAAACTTACGGGGCATAAGAAATTTGCAATCTGAACTTTGTCGGCTTCATCAACTTCTTCATTAGCTGCATCACACAGTTTCTGAACCTTGTCAGAATCCAGTCCAATTATACTAACCATTGCACTTTTTGCAGCATCAGCAGCATCCTGGACAGAATAGATATTGTCAGCAGGGGCAGAGCTAGTAGCCTGCATGCGGGTTAGGCCGAAGTCCGAACCCAGTCGATTTTGCTCAAACAGTATACTTATGTTAATAAATTCATTAAATATGAATAAATATTAAATTTGGAACCCAGTTATTATCTCTCAAAATCGTCATTATAAAAAGCCGAACCCATAAAGTTGAAATCATAGCTTTGACTCTGATTGTCAGAGTTCCATGCATGACACAAATTTATGATCATTAATATTACCTGCATAGCTTCTCCTCTAAGCTTAACCAGCTTAAGCCCATCCTCAAAACTGGCAAAGGTAATCAGATTAGTGGAAATCCAAATACTTGCATCTTAAAGGATGGGAAGGATAAGAAAGTACATCTAGACATAAGCTACTCCTAAAGCATAATGTTATGAAGGGTAGAAACCTGAAAGCTCCTGTAAATGCCAGAGCAGTGTATTCACCCAAGCTCAGACCACATGTGACGTCAACCGAATCAATTATTTGCTGACCCCCCTCACGAGCACAGAGTATCTCTACCGCAGCTAAGCTAGTGACATAGATAGCTGGCTGGGAACAAGTAAATTATGAGCCAGTCAAAAATGATTGTGTAAGTTATATCCTATTTGTCATCACAAACATCATCTATAACACTTCCTCTGTTTACTGAAAGCAAAACGTGCATGCATTGCAAAACCTTCTGCTGTTCCTTTTGTATATGTGATTTAACGGGATCAATGTGTTTTAGTTATGAACAAGTTGTTTCACATAACTGTAATACCAAAAAAGAGGTGTGATTCAAAAACAAGAAAAAAATGATGAGACGATACCTGGCTTAGAACAGTGGAGTCTAACTTCTCTTTTGGACCATTAATACAAATATCCAAAAGGTCAAACCTGTAAGCAAGGATGAAGAAATATTATCTCTCAAAATCGTCATTAACATAAAAGCGAAAAGCGCAAAAGAGCTCTAAGGTCCGTGGGGACTTTAAGCGCAAAACACAAATAAAGCGTGGGCTTTAATGAAAAAAGGCGCAAAGGGAGAAAAAAGTAAAATGTGTATGTTTAGGCCAAGACTAATAATTATAAACATGAATGAAAAATATATGACCAAAGAAATTGAAAAAAACTTATGATAAAGTTAAATATCAATTGTTTAGTATCACTTCTTCATAAGAGGCTCATTGACAAGGAAAAGTTTGTCTTAGAACTTTGATGATGACACTGAAGCGCACATTAGGCGAGGCGAAGCGCTCAACACGTTTTGAGCCTCGCTTTAGGGCTTAAGCAAGCTCAAAGCGCGCCTTTGATAACACTGCACATCTATCAGTTTCAACTCAATCCAAAAGGTTAGGAATGTGAATTATGAGTAAACATTTTTAAAAATGTTTATGCAAAAGAAGCAATTTTCCAAAGATTGTTGATCAGAGCATTTATAAGACTTGATCCATCATATTTACCCCATGATTTCATTTGCTCTCTTGTATAATTCAGCTGCAGCAGGCACCTTCTGAGCCTCTGCACCCATTCCAACAGCTTGTGCCCCCTGCAGAGGTATAGTGCTGATAAAATAGTTTGCCATGAAATTGGATATCTTGTGATCACAGTGACATGACTATTCTAGAAACTAGTCATACACCGTGATGACCATGAGACCAGATATTCACTAAATTAACCATGAACAGATTGGTTTGAACTATAGCTACTTAAAGGTAGCCAGAGAAGTTGAAGCATTGTGGCGGTAATGCAAAGCTGGAGATACTAACATGATATATTCCTACTCTCAAGCTTCAGTTCTACCTTTTTCTCTGGTTAGGTTACACCATGTTGAAGAAAACATTGTTCAAGCTTTCTTAGGCACAAATACTTATCAAGTATTATGATCATTTTTGAATCAGCAAGAAAACCGATCACCAATTAGACAAAATAACAACTGAATTAGCAGGAATCAAGTAATTAGGTAAAATAACAACTGAATTAGCAGAAATCACACATAGAATGAATTAAAAGCTAGCAAATTTTCCAAACACACTTCTATGTTCAGCACAGCATATTAATTTTTCATAATCTAATGCAATAGGAGAAATATAATCAAGTAATTATCAGCATTCTATTCAGCAGGAAGTAGGAACCAAGTTACTAGACAACTGAATATAGAATTTAAATACACAAAATGAACTCAAAGCTAAAAAGTTTTCAATCCAACTTCGAACCAATTGATGAAATAAAACAGCTATACAGCATAGACCTTTTTCTCCCATTCAAAATCTTATCAAGTAGTTTTCAAAATTTCCACTTCCATAAATTTTGAAGTTGGAACTTGAAACTTGAAAATTTGTGAAGTTATGACTTTTGGAATTTAAATTTGTGTTTGGACATGCATTTTAAATGGAAAAAAAAATTGTATCTTTGTGAGCGCAAGTCCCAAAAAATCCCAAAACCAGGTCTGAGAATTTAAAAACATTTGAAAGATCAGATTTTCAGTATCTGATATAATCAAAGTTTAAATGGCCAAACATATATTCAAAGATATTTTTTCAAAATCCATGGCCAAACTCTAGCTACATAATTAATATAAAATCGCTAATTTTTCAAAATCTAAATGAAGAAAACCGAAATACTTATCAAGTGTAATTATCATAATTTTAATTCAGCAGCAAATAACAATGAAATGAGCTACATAATTCAAAATTTTCAATCAAATTAGCAAATTTTTCTTCTTCTTTTCAAAATCTAATCCAGCAAGAGAATTATGAAATGAAGAAGAACCGATATACTTATAAAGTATAGTAATTATCATTATTTCAATTCAGTAGCAAATAATAATGAAATTACTTAAACAAATAAACTACAGAATTCAATTTTTCTAATCCAGTAGTGGTGATAAATGTGAAATGACCTGGCCAGGGAAGAGAAAAGCATTGGTAGGCTTATAATCAGCGAAGAGAGCATCATCAACGGCGGCAATTCGAGATCCAACGGAAATGCTGCTCATAAAAACCCTAGACTTATCCAATTTCATAGGACAAAATCTTCGAAATCCATTCGAAGAAATGGAAGGAAGAATCAAAGATGATGAGCAGCTCATTGTTGAGTCAGATTGCAAGTTGACGGACGGCGGAGCGAGTCGACTCAGTCGGCGGTCGGGTTAATGGTGGCGGAGGAAAACATGCAATTAGGAGACCATTTATATACTTCTGATGAAACAAATCTAAGCTGCAATGGCGGAGTTAACCAAGTGCTTTAACCAAATAAACATTGATTTTGTAGGTCACTTACTATTTTTTCTAGGGTGGGCATAAACACCGAAAAATCGAAAGGAACCAAATTATTTTGGTAATTTGGTTACGGTATTTCAATTTTCAGTTTGGTATTCGGTATATGGTTTTGTATTTTTCGGTATTTCGATTCGGTTTTCGGTATGTAATTTTTGTGTAATTTGGTATTTCGGTATTTCAGTTTACCGAAATATATAAATTATAATATATATTAATATTATATTAATTATTAATATTTAAAAATAAATATTATAATTTAAAATTAAAAACAAAAGTTTGTCTTTTCAAACTTTTCAACTTTACAAACCCACTTCCCAAAAGGCAAAAATTACCGTTCCCACTTCCCACGTCTAGTCGTCTACAGACTATAGCAGCGTCGACCATTTCGTCGACCAGCAGCACGCAGCAGCTGCCAATCGACCAGCAGGCAGCCGTAGCACAACAATGACCGGTAAATTTCAATGTTATAACAAGGCTAAATTTCAATGTTAATGACAATTTATTATTTTGAATCATACAATAATTTGAAAAACAGAGTAAAATAAGCAAAAAGAAATAAACATAAATAAAATAAACAAAAAAATTACAAAATTTTAAAAAGCCCACTAAGCAGACCCATAACAAAAAATCGAATTAACAAAAACCAAACCGAAATAACAAAAACCGAACCTAAATAATAATAACCGAATCGAACCGAATTATTTTGGTTCGGTGTTCGGTACACGTTGTACAAGAATCGAAAACCAAAAAAACCGGAAAAAAAAACCAAAACCGAACCGAAATACCGAATGCCCAGCCCTAATTTTTCCTATAAAAAAAATATAGTTTTACAATTTATTTATTTTACAATTTTTACATATATGAAATTTGAAAAAAAATGATTTTCTTCAATTCGATGTAAATAGTCAAGATATCTCATTTTCATTAATTTTATTATATTACTTTTTGAATAAAGTGTATTTGATGCTTCGACAGATGAGTGACGACTAGGGATGTTCATGGTTATGATTATAAAATCAAATTAAACCGCAATTCGAACCAAACAGATTAAAAAAATCGATATTTAGCTTGATTTGGTTAGGTTTGGTTTTAAATTTTAAAAAACTGATATTATTTTGTTTGGTTTTGGTTTTACTAAAAATTAACCGCAAAAATAACCAAACCGAACCGAGAAGTTATATATATAAATTTTACAATTATTTATAAATAAAATATAAGTATTTTGATAAATTTTAATTAACTTAAGTCTTTAATTTTACTATTTTCTGAAACCAAACACTTAAATTTTAGCCCAACTATTAAAACTTTAAGTCTAAATCTCTCAATATTCATTACTTTAAAGATCACACTTTCTCTGTTCTTTATAAAATTTTCTAACGCAACATTGAATAATTTAAAGCTCAAACTAAAGAAGATGGTAATTGATTAGTTTTGACTATGAAATACTGGTTGTTGTTGTTTTTTGAGAAGTAATTTCTCAATATTTTAAGGTGTAATTTTATTGAAAAGTCTATTGATAAGATGTTGAGATCTCTAGAATATTGAACCAACTTTATGTTATTGACAATGAGTTTTTTTAGTTTTCGAAACTTGGTATATTGGATGAATCACTTTGTTCGTGTAATAGCTTATTTGTGAATTATTCATGTCCTAAGTGTTTTTGTCTATCGAGATGCGTATGTCCTCAACAAACTTATTACTTTCGAACCGAAAAAATCTAACCAAACCGACGGTTATTTTTTTGATTTGGTTTGGTTTGATTTAGAAATTTAAAAACCAATTTAAGTTGGTTTGGTTTTGGTTTTAGTTTTAACTAGTAACCGATCCAAACCGAACCATGAACACCCCTAATGACGGCTATAGTAAATGATAAAGAATAAAATAGTACTCCCTTCATCTAACTTTGCTTGTGTGCTATATTATTTTGGGATATGTAATAATACTTGTCTAGCATATAAAATCAATAAATAATTTACCATATTATGTTTATTTTACCTTTGTTAGTACTATTTATTTCTCAATATTTAGATAACTTATTTTAATAAGGATGATTTTGTAAAATGACCCCCTATCATTTACTCTCAAGTCAATAGTGGACAAATATTATTGTATAGAATGAAGTAATTAGGTGATGATTATCTCATAATTTTTCAAACGGAACAAATGAAAATAAATATTTGTTTAAATATTTTAGACATGTAACACATGCTTATCAGCAGGTTGACGAGTTGTAATAATTTTTGCATATATAACATTGTTGTTAAATCGACGTCAAATCATCCTTGAAATCGTTACAAAATTATCTACCTCTTAGAGGCAGAATCCAAGATTTGAACTCAATGAGTCTAGGACTCGAGTTTCAACCACTGAACCCATCACCTTGTTCGAGTTGTGGGTTCATAGTTCAATATTTTCAGCAATTTCAGTACATTTTACATAAGATAAATCCCGGTCTGGACTAAAAGTTATAGGTCGAAACGAACCCACAACTATACAGCTAGATCTCCCCCTGCATCTCTATGCTAACACTATTACAACAAAGGGGCCTCAACCCTTCTGTTTTGTGCACTCTAGCCATAATCATCTAATATATGGTTTTGCTCACAACTAGTTTGCTATAAATTAAGGCGAAAACGCCCCCTATTTCTCAGTACCGTATGTCTTGACTATGAAGCAACTCAACCACAGCAGCAACTACACCCTTCCCCTCGACTGAGACGTCAAAGTGGGGCTCTTCGATTTTCCTTTTTAATATTTTATCCAGTTCCACTCGCAGTTTCTGCAAAATTTCAGACACATGAGCAAATAAGTGTAAGTTTTGAAATGATAAAAATGTATGTCACAAAGATGAAGTTGTTGCAGAAATCGAATGGCAAACCTTTATTAAATCCAACACACTTTTTGACGCAGAAAAGTGAAGATAGCCTCCAAGCATTTCAATGCCGTCTCCACTTTTGCTTGGAGTGAGATTACCCCCAAACATAAGGAGAGAATAATCGGATATGTTCGTTGAATCTCTGATATAAATGCTTGAGGTCTTGACTTTCTCACTGTAAACTAAGTAGGGAAGAGGGAAAAGATGAACACTAGCGTTAACAGATGCTGGGTGGATATCAACTTTTCCAACTTCCTTCGTGTAAAATGCTGTACGCTTTCCTCTTCTTTTACACTGCACGACATTTGGGTAGAGGCCTGCACAAAGGATGGCGCATACCATCTCTAAATCATTGCTATATTCATTGTATGCCTGCAATATAAGATCATTGTCTCTTAATCTTGATCATGGATGGGTGTTTTAAGTACTGCTAGATGGACTCGAATCAGAAGATTAATATTATTTGCTTCTTCTACACCATGATATACACACTTCACCAAATAGTAATAATTTACGACAAAACATGGTCAAACCAGACCTAGACAGCATTAGAGTGAAGGGAGTTATATGTGCATCAGTTGTTCAAGGAAAAGAAATTCGGAGAATTTACCTTAGCTCCTCGTGATTTATCCACAAAACCAATATCTGACAGTAGGTCAACGAACTGATTTCTCATGTCTTCCATCATCTGCAAGGTTACAGGAGATAAGAAATTTTCCCAACAGAAGGTTCTTTCTTTTCCATAACGTTTAGCATCTTTCCATCCTTCAAATGCTTTAAGAAGTGCAATATGATCACTGCATCAAAAGGAAGATTGTTTTCACATGAATAAGGAAATATTTTATTCCACAAAGTGATGTCCCTGATGGAAGCCAGAGAAAGAAGCGTATAAACCATTAATTTTATTTGGTTTAACCTGCAAGAATCACCAGCAAAGGATCTTTTAGCAGCATCTGCTTCCTCTTTCCTGTTTATTGGCAGGACAAATGGATCACGGTGTGCCAGAGCAGCAGCAATAGTCAGTGCAGGGTTCAGACATTGGAAGATGGACCCCATCAGAAGCATCTTTCCAATATTTGGATCCAGCGGTAGAGTGCAAAGATGGCGGCCTGTAAAGAAACATTATAAGTAAACATTCCAACGTGGAATATATTGAGAAAATCATGTGCACTATACAAACCAAGTGGAGTAAGTTCTTCTGTATCATCCAGAGCTCCAATAGTTTTGAGAAGTTCAATAGCATTGTGGACAGAGAGAGCATCCGGAGGTTGAAGTGCCTTGGCCAAAAAGGATTCAATGGCGCCAAACTGCAAACTCTTAATATGGAGACAAAGCTCTTGTAATGGTGTTCGAAGAATCTCAGGTAGTTGATATTGTGCCATAGCATCATGTATTAGTTTCGGATACAACCTATAACAAACTCCAGGTTGTACACGGCCCGCACGACCGCGCCTCTGCAGATAATAAAAAATCTCCAATAAGCCAAAAATACAAAGCCAAATGAAGTTGACTCCAAATATATCAATCTCCCATAATATGTATTGCATTTTTAATTACCTGATGTGCTGAGGCCTTTGAAATCCATGATGGTAATAAACAAGCTAGCTTGTTCAGTGCATCATAGCTAGTCTCTTTCGCCTTCCCACAGTCTATGACATACACGACATCATCTATAGTTATACTGCTCTCAGCTATGTTGGTTGCAAGCACAATTTTCCTGCATGATCAGATTCAAGATATTAAATTTTAAAAAAGAAAAACTGACTGATGAGTGAAATCTGAGTACTTTGATTCATATCATACTGCTATATTAGTTTATGTGACTGACAATGAAATCCACCATTCAACAACAAGAAATAACAGAAAAAGTAATGATCCACCTGAAGAGATAAATAATTGAGCAATGGTATTATTGATAAAGGGTGATCAACCTATGATTAAAGAATGTGAATTCTTGGAGATCCAGCTTATGCTAAACAAAGAATGTACCTCGTGTTAGCAGGTGGACGATCAAATA